ATCTAAGAAACCGAACATGCTACTAACTAAATAATTAATTAATTAGTAGGGAGTTATTCCAATCTCACGCAATCCAATCTAATCTAATATAAGTAACCAAACGAGCCCTAAATAATTAATTAGTTAGTGGGATATTAATCCAATCTCAGCTATTCCAATGTAATCCGATATATATAAGCAAAGAGGCCTAAATATACAATGGACAAAGAAATTGCAAGAAAAATCCCAAGAAAAAAAAAAAAAAAAAACATGTACAAAAACAAGTATTAAATTAGGCCCATATGCAGCCGTGCGCTATTCCCATTCCCATCAAAACTGCACGATTGGGGTGTGATAAAACAATCAATCCCATTTGGTATCGCTATCCCACCCATCTGGGATAGTGATGTGAACTCTTCATGTATTATTATTGTTCATCTAATTAAACTTTTATCTCTTTCACAAAAGAATATCCCATCTATTATTATTTCTGGTAAGAACCATATTTATTTTTTTGTTTTGATTTAAGGTTTTCTCGTGCTGTATTTTGGCAAAAGAATATTCCTCACAACTTTGTTGATTAAAAACCCGTCATCTGGGATGTGATAAATGTCGTTTCACTTTTAATAACAGTGTTTCGACTTCAAATGTGATTTTGACAATTTTCTAGGTCGAATTTGGCGAAACTCAAAAAACTGTATATGTAATTCTTTGAGCTAGTTTTCTAATTAAATTTGAATTACCAGGATTGGATGCCCGATGAGAAAGATATGCATGGATCCATAAACAGTTTGTACGATTTTAATGTTTCGAGTTATCTAAAATTGAAAATGTAACTTATTGATGCGTAACTTTGTCACCCGACATCGGATCTAATTGATTCAAGTTGAGTTAGGAATATATCTCGAAGGACTACGGTTTCCGTGATTTGAATTTTGTCAAAATCAGATTATAAAAAAAGGTTAAAATTATGTTTGGAGTCAAAACAATATTATTAAAATTGTAACGACATTTAACATTTGAGAATGAAAAAACCATTGTAGAAACTTGTTTAATTTGTTTATGTAATTCATTTTATTTAATTTTATGTATTTATGACATTTTTTAGGTGTAGCATTAACCAATTAAATTGTGTATGTCTATTTAATAAAACTACTATAATGTTTTATTTATATTTTCACTAATACAAATATTATTGGAAATTGTAATTAATAAATTAGAATTTTGAGTAAATAAACTAATTGTTGTAAATTGGAGAGAGAGAGAGAGAGAGAGAGAGAGAGAGAATCATTGAATAGAAGTGATGATGTATGTTGAGTTGAAGGGTAAATGCAAACGACAGATGATGAATTTAACAGAGCAAGCGTGCACACCTAATCATTCTTTTGCGACCAAGCATGTACTGCATTTTTTATTTTATTTTTTTACCCAAATTAAATATTTTTAACCTTTCCTTTTTAATACAAAAATAAATTATATTAATTTATTTATGCCCTAACTATTTTTTTAATTAACTAGGACAATCCGAATTTATAAATTATAATTATGTTGTGCAAAAATAATATACTTAGTTTTTCAATCAATAGTTTCATGAATTTATTAGGTGCAAAAATATTACATTTATGATAATTCATAGTTTAATATTTAATTAGTTGCTTCATTTTTTTATTTAGTAATTAAGGCAGAAACCCCCAACCAATCATATAGCTGCATTGGTGAACTTACATACTCTCATATAATAGCTTGCAAACCACACAAGAGCCGTAAACTACACTAATCTAATCATGTGTAGGACTGGCAATTGAGTCGGGCCTAATCGAAGCCCGATGGCTCAGCCCGATTATATTTGAGTCGAGTCTACTTTTTAGTGAGCGAGGCTGAGTTTGAGCCTACTATGACTCAACCCAAATAAAGCCGGACATATTAGCAGAGTAATAAAATATATATAATATATTTAATATTTCAATATTATGACTCAACATACAAGTTACGACCGTATAAAATTATTTTTTTTAAATAAAAGGAATTAAGTGGTGACATTGGCAATAACTAAAATAGGAATCAAATTCAAGCCACCGAAATTGATTTGCTGAAATTTACCACCAAGGTTTGATAATATAAAATATTTCCAATAGCAAGAGTTACTGATATTTTTTTTTTTTTTTACTTCTTACAATCTTGTTCTTAATTTTTTCCATAACTTGCAAAGATTGTTCAGGATTGACGTGGTAAATTATTAGGCTACCAAACCTCAAACGAAGTTCCATTATTTAATTAATCATGCCTAGTTTACTAACCAAAGGAGGCCCAAGTTTATTAATTTGTATGATGAGCTTAAACATGGTTAAATTCATTAAATGTAGGTTAGAATAAATCGGTTAATAAAAAAAAAAAAGAGTAAATTAGGAGAGAGAAAGAGAATTAGGGAGGAGAGAGAGAGAGAGAATTAGGAGAGAGAAAGAGAAGGTTTATGTCCCGGTCAGTAGCCGGCATATGAAGTTGGATTGCCGCTTTCTTGTCCCCCAACGATTCACTATTCCCACACCTTGTTTTCCTCTGTCCCCCCTCATTCATTAATTCACTTTGCGTGACCCTCCCTCCAATCTTTTTATTTTCATTCTAGCCCCTCTTCTTTTCCTTCTACTCAAATCCGTCCCATATTATTTATCTATCTAAAGTGGATTTTTTTTATCACTCGTAATTCGTTAGTTTAAAAATATTTAACGACGACGGTATTTCAGTATTTATTACAAGTTATGTGTATCTATTGAGTTTCTTAATACATGCACAACCACCTAAAAGAATGTATAATATGGGACGTTTGGAGTATTTCAACTTTTTCGATGAAGCATCAGTTTCGAGGTGCGGTTTAATATTATTTTGGTTGAAATCGAATTTGCGTTTGGCAGTTATTTGTATTGATTGACGAGTTTAACGTTCAATTTTATGTTTTACTAGTATTTATTAGTGACATTACTATTTTTCGAGAAAAAAATTAATTAAATTTGTCTTATGACCGGAGCTTGTTCCGGTGAATATTCTTATATAATCGAAGCAATTATAAGTAATTAGGAAAATTGTAAGAGATTTCGATTGTGGTTTCGAATATCGTAGATTATGCAAATTAAAAGATATTTTTATAAAAGTGACTTCTCATGATTCCGGATAGAGTGGAGACACACGGATTGAATCGGAATTAATATTTTCAAAATATATACTTCATTTTCTTTTAGAAATGAAAAGTTAATTATAATTCTATTCGTATATTGGAATTACAAAAAACGACTAAAAATAGACATTATAAATACGATTTAAAAAAAAATCGGATTAACTTCGCAAATTAAAATCTCATATAAATTTCATTTCGAGAAAAAAACAAAACAAAATTTGAAATGAAAATATATCCAGGACTCGCACATCATTCGTCAATCCCGTATTTACGTAGCTATTTATATTTAATAATTTCTTTAAAAAATAAATAAATCAAAACAATCTAAAATATTATTGAGATTGAAATTTAAAACAAGATCCACTAATGTGATGATTAATTTTCTAGCTGTACGCTATTTTCTTTTCCTTTTTTATCCCCATTCTATGACGTAGGATTGCGTAGGCGACTAATTTATTATTCCCCAACTTACCCTTATAACAAATGGTGGGTCCCCACAAAACGGCTATTAACGGAGTTGAGTTGGTGCGAAACTGCGAATCTGCAACCACGTGAAGAAGGAATCCGGGGCTACTTTCGTCATTTCACATGTAAGATAAATAACGTGGAATCCCTGCTTTTAGGCCAAACAGAAAAGATGTATTGCTGACTATATCTATACTTCAAACGCAATGATGGTGCGTGTTGTTTGTTATACCTAAGCTCTTCTATGCCCCGAGATTACTATAATACCCCCGTTTATTTTAATTTGGGCATATTACGGCCACTGAGATGATGTCAAATTACGAAAAACCCCTAAAGTTTACATAAACTATGTATTATCTTACGAAAAAATCCATTCAGTTGGTAATTATAGAGGCGTTCATTCGGTAAAAATATTACCGAAGTTTCGGAACACCAACATTTCATACCGTTTAGCGTTCGGTTCGGTAAATAACCGAATTAGCAAAATTTTATTAAAAATAATTAACATTTTGATTTTTTTAATTAATGTTAGTTTGAATACTAATATTACATTTATAAAATAATAAAAAATGTAAATATTTCACCGAATTACCGGTTCGGTAATCACCGAATTTTCATTCGGTTCATTCGGTGGGTTTATAAACCGGATGAACGGTAAATTTGACACTGTAAGGGTGGACAGGCAAAATAATACATAGTTGAGGGATAACTGTAATTATGCAAACAAGTAGAGTGTTTTTACAAATTAACTTTACCAGAGGGGTGGTGACTGTAACTTGCCCTTTCAAATTTTCTTTATTTTTGTTTCACTTTTTGGGCAATAAAATTAGAATTTTGTTTCATTTTTTATTATTATTATTATTATTATTATTATTATTATTATTATTATTATTATTATTATTATTATTATTATTATTATTATTATTATTATTATTATTATTATTATTATACCTACACATGATCTTTTTAATGTTATAACTTAAATTAAAAAACAACATAAAATATAATAAAAGCAAAATATGGGGGTTGTTTTCAGTTTTCACACCTCAAGCACTATTTATCTACGCCAAAGTCTAGACAAGGGTAAATTCGTCATTCACCAGTCCCAAGGGTAAGCTCGTCATTTCACTAGAACAAGAAAGCAAATGTAGCCAGTAGAAACTGTAAAAAGGGGCATAATTGCGCTACTGTCACCATTTACCACCTGCAAGAGCGACAGTAATTATTTTTCGCTCGGTCACAGTATTCAACGGCCACGATCTCCCATCAGCATCCAATCCCAGCCGTAGATGAAATATATATCCCTTCGTAAGAATCTGCCCCAGATTCGTCTAGTTAATTACCATTTTGCCCCGCGTATAATATTTTATTTAAAAAATATATCTTTCTCTCTCTCTCTACATTTTTTTCTTCAGCTTTCTGCTTGAATGGAGGGACCTTGATAAAAAAATTCTCTCTGCTTTCCTATTCCTGCTTTTCTCTACAGTTACCCGAGCTCTAAAATCCTCATCTTCTTTTGAGTTTCCTCGTTACTATTTCGCACTGCAAAGTAAAATATTCAGGTATTTTGTTCTCTTCATATGCATGCCATTTTTTTTGCCCCAAATATGTAATTTTTTAATTATTTTTTTATTTTTTGTGCTTATTTGAGCTAAGTACTGCCGAAATTGAGCTGAGATCTTGCAATTTTTTTGGAAATTTTGTTTTTTTGGGGGTTTTTAATTTATTTTAGTAATACTGTGATTTTGTGGCTGGTGTTCTGGATCTCCTTTGATATTTTGCCCTGGCTAAATATCTCTGTTTCTAATGTCTCTGGGTTAATTAATTAATTAATTAATTTATTTATTTTTCAAATTAGTAATTTCTGCTTTGGTTATGGTCCTTCTGGATCTTCGAAGAAATAAATACTTCTATTTTTAATTAATTTTTTTTAATCAAAATTTTCATGCAAGAGTTGAAAAATACCTAATTGATTCAAAATTGCTTAATATAAACTGTAATTTTTTTTTTAACTTCACTTCACTTTGTTTGTTGGCTGTAAAAATGGTGGTTTTATCTGTAGGGAATTACTCAAATTAATTTTATTTATTTATTAATGCATTTTCCTGTTATTAAGTTAAATAAAAATCTCTCTTCAAGATCTACTGATCACTGGGGTTAGAAAATAATTTTTTTTTTGCTTTTTAACATTTTTAAATTGAATTGTATATTTTGATGAACACTATTGGCTTTTATAGCTGTTGTTTATTCAAGAACTGATGCTCCGTAATTTTCCTGTATTGAAGTAGAACTGTTTCCGATTAGGATATCTAAAACTTGTACGTTTTTTTTTTTTTGTTTTGTTTTTTTAATTGCAGATTCTTACAACCTTAGAAAAGAACAAACTCTATGTTGTCAGCGCAATTGGGGGTGGAGGGGCAAAGTCAGTGTAATGTCTCTCTGATGGCTTCTTCAGCATCGGCCGACTGCATCACTCAGAATGGATCGTCTCTGAAAGAACGCAACTATCTGGGATTATCCGACTGCTCCTCTGTCGACAGCTCAGCAGTGTCGTGTGGGGCCGACACGGAAATCAAGAGCAATTTAAATCTCAAGGCCACTGAGCTGACGCTTGGCCTGCCCGGATCTCAATCCCCTCATCATCAAGAATTGAGCTTCACTGCACTGCTCGACGAAAAGCAACTGTTCCCACTTATTCCTTCCAAAGATGCTCAAAAGAGTGTCGTGTCTGGTAATAAACGAGGGTTTGCAGACACTGTTGATGGGTTTTCGGATTCGAAAAGTGCGATGCTTGGTGAAGGAAAAAACTGGATGTTTAATGGTGTGGGTGTGATGCTTACTAACAAGCCGTGTGGGACCCAGCCTTTGGTTAAGACAGAGGCTACTACGTTGAAGGAGTGTGGTAACAACGTTAATAACGGTGGCTCTAACACCAACAATGCACCTGCTGCTAAGTAAGTAGTGAAAGCCCTCTAATTCATTAGTTAAATTCTAGTGTGTGTGTGTGTGTGTGTGTGTGTGTGTGTGTGTGTGTGTGTGTGTGTGTGTGTGTGTGTGTGTGTGTGTGTGTGTGTGTGTGAAGAATTCTTCTAGCGTTTAGAGACATAAATAAATTAATTGAAATTCTTCTAGAATATCATTTTTCTAATCAATAAAGTGACTAATTTCATGTATCTTTCTTGTTTCGATTTTTAAAGATGATTTTATCAGTTTTAATTTGGGTTTGTTGCACTCGGTTCCCCCGTATTATGTCGGATTGCTAAAAAACGACCCTATGTTTTATTAGCTAAACCCCGCCATGATTCAATTTTTTTTAGCACACAAACCCCTAAAACAGGGGTATTATTGCTAAAAAGAAATTAAATCATAGGAGGTTTTATGCCAATAAAATAACATAGGGTAGTTTTTTAGCAATTCCATATAATACAGGGGTACTAGTTGCAATAAACACATGTTAATTTAGAAAAAAAAAAAAAGAAAAAAGAGAAGTTGTAGAGAGAGACAATGGGAATACTCAATAAAGTAAGAGGAAATATTTATGGTATATGGAGATTCTTTATATTTTTTAAAAAGCATTTTTTTTTATTAAATAATATTGAAATTACTACATACCCCTTATATATATTTTATGTATATAGATATATTTTAAATTATGGAACCCCATCATATGATTCGGTTAAAACGGTTGGTTGGTTTTTTCTTTCAGGGCTCAAGTTGTAGGTTGGCCACCAGTGAGATCTTTCAGGAAAAATTCTCTTGCAGCAACCTCGAAGAACAATGATGAGGTGGACGGTAAACCGGGTCCCACTGCTCTATTTGTCAAGGTCAGTATGGACGGTGCTCCTTATCTGAGGAAGGTGGATTTGAGGACTTATTCGACTTATCAAGAACTTTCCTCTGGTCTCGAGAAAATGTTCAGCTGTTTCACCTTAGGTAATAATAATAAGATGTTTCTTTTGCGATTTATAAGTTTCTGTATTTTGAATTTTTACGGATTTTTATATAAATGTGGTTTTTGTGGTTATAACAGGACAATGTGGGCCCGCTGGAGCACAGACGAGAGAAATGATGAGTGAGAGTAAGCTGAGGGATCTTTTGCATGGATCGGAATATGTGTTGACATACGAGGATAAAGACGGTGATTGGATGCTTGTTGGAGATGTTCCTTGGCAGTAAGTTTCTTATTTTCGCTTAATTCGTGAAACATATATTTTCCATGTCGTAATTGAGGTTCCTAAATATTATTCCTTTGCTAATTGTTCTTTTCTGATTTTTTTTTTTTAATTAATGAAACTGGTTTGCTCTATTTCTTCATAAAGTTATCTTTGTATTTCGTTCATAAAAGAATAATGCAAAAATGGGTTGTCCCTCGTGGATTTTGATTTGTGAGTTTTCTTGCGGTTTGTGTAGTCTGCATGAAAATTTTGTTTCATAATTTGTCGTATAATTTTATCCCATGTACTCCGATATTCTATAAAGAGTCTTTAGGTGTCGGTCAATGATAATTTCGTGCATAATGTAATGTATCTAATTTGAAGTAATCGTAATAGTCAAATTTATCGCTATTGTATGATTTGGCTACCCAATTGAATAACGTTTCTTGTTCGATGAACACGAGTGTTCCGGCTAACCACTATTGGTAAATAAATGGTACAATTTTTATTTAAATATTTTCTTCCCCGATTATTTTTCGAAACATTGATTAATGCTCTGCTGTTTTAGGATGTTCATCGCCTCGTGCAAAAGGCTCAAAATCATGAAAGGCTCCGATGCTATTGGATTAGGTAAGCAACTTTTATCCGGATACAAAATTTTCTTTTATCCCTTTCCGCATTCGTTTATGTCTTGATATAAGCGAAATTTTCTTGGCGGAAAATTCGTAACGGAATTTTTTTCTGATTGATACACAGCTCCAAGGGCCGTGGAGAAATCGAAGAATCGAAACTAGTGAATTTATCGATCTTGATTTCGAGTATTTGTTAAGGTGTTGTTATTGAGTGTATTATGTGTCTATCATGTCTTAAATTTTATTGTTTATTATCCCTAAATCTATTGTATGGTTTGTAGTTGGCCTGATTTTAATTATACTGAACCTATGTGAACCAATATTATCTAGTATTTTGTATTAAAAATGATTTGTGTGTGTGTGTGTATTGAGAAAACATTACTCTGCAATTGTGTATTGTGTGTGTATTTTGCATCGAGTTTATTGCAGTTATACCCCTGTTTTATATAGAATTGCTGAAAAACCACCCATTATTTTATCAGCAACACCCCCCTCTTATCTCCTATGATTTAATATTTTTAAGCAATTATAGTGGGGTGTGATTTTGCCATGGGGTATTTTTTTTCAATTCGATATAATACAGGGGTACTATGAGATGATGTATTGGGTGGTTTTGTATCAATAGATCCATATATACAAATTACTCTACTAAGTACACATACACATAGACGTGTGTCGATTTCGCCAACACTGCTAAATAAGTACTCTCTCTAGGTCAAAATATGTGTTGCTTTTGATTGTTGCGCACATATAAGGAATAGAATAAACGTATCGTTTTAGAGAAAAATGGAGTATATAAAATGATTAAAATATCCATGTTAATAATATGAAATTCTAAAGTGACAAAATAGTTTGGAACAACAAAAATTCCCTAAAGCGACAGTTATTTACCAACTCTCATTAGAAGAGTTGGTACCTAACATCCACCTTCCCTATTTTTCCTTATAATGGACTTGAATTTACTCATAAAAAGAAAAAAGAAAAAACGACAGTTAATTTGGAAGGAGGAAGTATTATTTAATTAAAAACATAGTGGTAGGTTGACTTCAAGTCCTTCATTAACCTCTTATTTTGAACTTTCAAGTTATTTCGACATTTCCTCATAAGAAAAGGCAAATTATGGTAAAACCCCAAGTATGGTAAAATTCTGAAAAAAAATATATCGTAAATTATCTTTTTCAACTATGTATTTTTTTACGAAAAAATCCCTCATTCAGCTGGTAAATTTGACACCATAAAAGTGGACGTGTAAGACAATACATAATTGATGGGTGATTGTAATTACCCAATCATGAAGGACTTTTTTTTCTCGTAATTTGACCTTACATTAAGGATGGTCGTAATTTGCCCGAAAAAAAAATAGATTTTATTGAGTGAATTTCATTAATACTCCAAAGATTCTATGTTGGTAAAATTCACTTTCAAAGAGGGAATCAGATAGTGATCCACTAACCATACCCTAAAGTCTTTCAAATATTTTTTTGAAAATAACTTTAGATTGCACCATTTTTTTCTTCAGATAATTGAAGATGTTGTTTGACTAATTGTTGGCTTCTAATTAGTGCAGTGCTTAGTCATTAATCCCATCTCTTTCAAATGATTAAGACATCATGGATTATTTTGCAGATTACATTGTTCCCTTGGAGGAATTTCAACCCAATCTTGAAAGAGTATCTATCTTTGACAAATCTTTACACTTGATAGATAAAAGGGCTTTATTTGGTATTTGATACACACCATTTCTTCATTTCAATTATAAATCTCTATATAAATTAATATGAATTTGAGAAACCTAGGGTGGGGGGCCACGGCCCCCTTTGGCCCTCTGTCGCCAGTACTGTCTGTATTACTAATTTCAGCGTCAGGGAGGTTTCGTCATATCAAACATTCTCGATTAAACTTAGGGTAAATTACAACCACTCCTCTGAGGTATGATCAAATTACGAAAAAATCCTCCTCCTGATTATATGGGATATTATCACTTTTGTACCCGTTTTATCCCATTCGAACTCTACATTTTGAAGCAAGATGATCATAATATGTGTTTTTTAGCTTGTATATATATATCAGATTGTGGTGTATCAGAAACCGTATTTTTACACAAAACGAGTACAAATTAGAGCACATTCCACGAAATCTAGATGATTATGTTGAATTTGACATTATAAGGGTGGAAGTGTAAGAAAAAATCATAGTTGAGGGGGTATATGTAATTATCCAAACAAGATGGGTTTTTTCGTAAATTGACCATACCTCAGGGTGCTGGTTGTAATTTACCCTTAAACTTATTTTAAAAAGTTGGTAACAATTTTTAGCATTACCCTAAGTGGGATTCATTAAATCTTGTGGATTTTGATCTCTCTCTCTCTCTCTCTCTCTCTCTCTCTCTCTCTCTCTCTCTCTCTCTCTCTCTCTCTCTCTCTCTCTCTCTCTCTC